CTGTACTCTGTGGATTACTTTTATCTCACCTTAATAGCTGAGGATCCATGTAAGGCTGCTGATCTCAGAAAGTGGGAAGTATACGTAGGAGAAGAGACAGGGCCCAGGCAGTTTAAGACTTCTTTAAGGTTATTTACCCAGTTTGCACCCCGTCCAGAAGTACATTGGAAGCCAGTGCGGATAGGCCTGACTTGGAGCTATATACTCCCTTTGAGTCTGTTCTTACTAATAGAGAAGCAGCAGTCTGCATTAGCTGCAGCTTCTGATACATTCTGATGAGTAGCTCAACACAGAACACATCACAGTAGTCCAGCAGAGAATCTGGTTAGACACGGAACTACTCTATTTTTGTGGCCTTGAACAAGCGACAGCCCAAGTGTTTTTTTCTTTCATTCTCTGCACTCTTCCTATGGTTGTAGGGGAGAGTAAGCACAATTGAGAAAACCTCCCTCACATAAATGAATATAAATGGTAAAGGATTGTAGGTTTCCTGCTACTGCTGCTTCACCTTTGGTGTTAACTTATTACAGCAACTGATATACCTCCAGTAGAAGTTCTCATAATAGCAATAATAATAATTTATTATTTACAGTCTATGCTGCCCACTCTAGGCAGCTTCCAGCAAAATAAAATACAAAACGACATCAAACATTCAAAACTTTCCCTGAATGTCTTCTGAAAGTCAGATAGTTGTTTATTTCCTTGACGTCCGATGGGAGGGCGTTCCACAGGGCATGCACCACTACCGAGAAATGCTCAAGAGTGATTTACGTAAAACGGGTGGGGAATGTTGGATCCCGTCAGCCCCAGCCGGTGTAGTCACTGGCCAGAAATGTTGGGAACTGTAGTCCAGGAAGATCTGCAGGGTGACAGGTCCTCCCACCGTAAAAGGTAAATGTCTGGCCCAATAGCTTCATGGGTGAGTTGGGATTTGAACTCGCTTCTCTCCAGTCCTGATTACTACACCCTGCTGAGTCCCTTGAGCAGAACAGTTTTATGCCAGCCATGAGAGGAAGGAGGCGTGGCTGGCAGAAGGAAGGAAGGTGTTTCATGGCACCAGGATTCTGAACTGTCTTCCTCCTGCCAACAGATAACCCACAGAGCCCTCTTCCCTGGGGACTCGGAAATCGACCAGCTCTTCCGCATCTTCCGCACCCTCGGCACGCCGGACGAGACTGTTTGGCCAGGTGTCACCTCTATGCCCGACTACAAATCCAGCTTTCCCAAGTGGGCCCGACAGGACTTCAGTAAAGTAGTGCCGCCTCTGGATGAGGAGGGCAGGAAACTCCTAGCGGTGAGTTTGCAAGGCAGTGCGGACAGAGTCTCAACAGCTTTAGGGGGAAAGGGGCGTTGAGCATTAGCAAATATCCAGACCAGTGGGATGAGAGCATTTGCTCTGTGCATGTCTTCAGCACACACACGCCTGCCCCCCCAAGTCATGGATCATTTCCTGGAGTAAAGTCCAATAAGTGGAATTCTGGCTTTTTAGAGAGATTTGAGTATGCATTCCCATGCAAGTGTCTATAACTTGCAGAGCTTAAGCCCAGTAATCCTTAGGAAGTGGCATATGCCTGCCATTGCCTTCAGAATGATGCATTGGCAGTCCTGGCTTTGGCTTTGGATCTGCTTTAAACACCACCACCCCCCATATAAAATCAGATTTCCACACCAAAAGAAATATAGCAGATCAATGTCCAGTGAAGACTGAATTTTTCCACGAAGACATTGGCTTCTGCATGTTCTCTCTGCTTGTCGCCATATTTGTGAGCTTGCTTGTTCCTAAACTGTTTCAGATTTTGGTTATCCATTATCTCCTGGGAGGTGCACTCGTTATCTTCTGATTTTGGCAAATAATCAAGAAATTTTAGCAGTCAAGAGATGTATTCATTCCCTATTCTCAATTAGAGCAACATCTTTAACATCTCCAAATAACAAAATGTGAGGGTGCATGGGTAGCCCGTTATTTCTTCGTTTTCCAGTATTCTCCCATCATTTTCTGAATTTAGGACACATCCAGAATATATTCCACATCCCACTGCTTTCACCTTTACACCTCACACTCTGTTGTATATACTGTATCTGATTAAAATGTAGCAGTGTTAGGTACCGATGGAAGAAAAGCTGCCTTTATACTTAACCTCTGTCTGTTTCTGGACCTCCTTACCTATAACATCCTAGCAGGGGCTGATGGGAAATGTAGTCCAAGAACATCTGGAGGGAACCAGGTTCCAGCTGAGGCTGCTGGGAATTGCAGTCCAAGAACATCTGGAGGGAACCAGGTTCCTCACTCCTGCTTTCTGACATTTTGCTCTTGTTGCTGCAAACTCCTCCTTCCTATATTTCACCACCTCCCTGTTCTCAGTCCTGTTTTTGTTTTGAGTTCAGTCTCTGCTTTTGCTTCTGGGGTAACATCTGTGTCCCACTACAGAGACTGTATCATGTTGTCTCCTGTGAAGGACCGAGGAGAGTTGGCTGCCCGTTCTTGGGCACCCTGCGTGCCACTAACTCTTTGCTTCCTTCGCCTTTAGCAAATGCTGCATTACGACCCCAACAAGAGGATCTCGGCCAAGACTGCGCTCAACCACCCCTTCTTCCGGGATGTCACAAAAGCCGTGCCACACCTCCGCCTGTGAGAGGAGAGTGGAGCCAGCAAACCTGCCCTCTGGCAAACTCAGCAGCCCGTCCCGTCTTGGATTGCCCCAGGTGCCTGCACTTAGAAAAGACTTTTCTCAACTTCACCCTGAATGGAAAACTGGAAGTCCAGCCCACACCTTTGGGGTTGTTTTATATTTACTCCTGGGTTTATTTTAAAGTACTAGCTGAGTGAAGGGTGCCTCCAGACTGACTTTCCATGAGAAGAGAGGCAGAAGCCCCCAGAGCCAGCCGCCGCAGGAAGTCTAATTGCTCAGGAGGCGACAGTGTCATTCCTTTTTTTAAAAAACCCCAGGATTTCTGTCTCTCTTCCCTTGGTAACTTTTACAAAGCGTCTTCTGTACTGTCGTGACTCGCTCAATTCCAGCTTCCTCTGCAAAGGTCAGCTGTGCATTTGCTTGAGCGGTCCTTGCTTCCAGCAGCCAGAGATGGCGTCTTTCTGATTTGGATCATGGGTATTGGTTGGTGCTTGCATGATAAAGTCCTCCTGGTGCCGGCAGAGGTGCTCACCATTTCCTTTCAGATGGGATCCTCAATGAGGACTATGCACTTAACTATCCACTTTTCACAAGCAGGAAGATTTCCTTTTGTTAAGGAGCTGGGCAATGCCTGCAATATGCGAACCTGATATTCCTCATTGCACCAGCGATAGCAGTCAAAAGTCTGGTAGCCTTTTCCTGATGGACCGTGGTTTGTGATGCTTGCTGGTTGAAGCCCACAAGAAGCCCTTGGAAAAAGAAGTTGGACTGTCAAAGCTCATAAGAACAGCTTGCTAACCAGCCATATGACCACTGTATGTTCATTGGGGGCAATGGGCATTACCCTATCCACTTTACAATATCTTACCGTCTTGTCTCCTGTACATGCCTTTCTGGTCTGTGGCACTGAGTCACAGGCCTTTCCATCTGTGTGGGTGGGTGGCCGATTTAATGACAGAAGGTGGGAAACTTTCAGTTCATTGCTCTTTGGGCTCAAACTTATTTTTGGTAAACTAGCAAAGCCCTCAGCTGGAATGGATCTGCCAAGTAGCTTTGTCTTCAAGCAGTGTGTTGTGTGAAAATAGATTGATAACAAAAATTGTGTGCGAGTGCTTGTTAATTTTTTGAAGTTCAGGTGTGAGAATATTAAAGGGATAAAATTGCAGTTATTTCTCCTCTCCCCTCTTGTATTTTAGCCAAAATAGTGCAACTCCTACCTTCAGTTAGGGAATTATTATTTGTGAACTGCACTGTTCCAAGCTGCAAATGTCAACACTGCTATCTTTGTGCTACTATGCCTTGAAGGCACTCAGACCTCTCAGGTTATTTCAGTGAAATGCAAAGAATAGGTGTGATTTTAGGTGCAGACAAACATTTAATCTATGGGCGGAAATCTAAACTTTCAGTCCTGATTAGTTTCTTATAAATTACATGTGATGAACTAGAATTCTAATCTTTTAGAACTAGTGTAATTGGTAGAGATCACTCAGTCACCTGGATTGAGCTGATTATAAAAGCTTGTCTGCAGAAAGCAAGATTCACTATGAAACCCAAAAGGCAGCCTGCTCAGTGCACCGGTGCTGCAATAACTTGAATCATCTAAACAAAGTCTCTTTGCCTTCTCTATAGCAAACTTTAAAGGTGTTTTTCTAGTTGTTTCGGCAAATCCCACTTACCAATGAATAGTGTGATGGATCCAAAATGTGAGACTTCTGTAAAGCAAGGGATCATTTCTTATTTCTGTAAGGTTTTCATTTCCTTTTTTGTAAATTAAGAGGTATGTTGGAGCGATATACACATTTTCTACAAGAAAATGTGTTCTGTGAAGTAACATTACCTATTCTTCAAATTCAGTGAATATTGAAGGAGAGGAGCTACCCCTTCATCATAAGCCATAATCTAGTCTTCATTCATGGATGAAGTGTCTGGTGTTTTGGGTCTAGATGAAGGCTTACTTTTAACTATTCTTAGATATATTCTCTCTATGAACAACCGTATTCTGTATAAAGACAACATGCTAACCTGGCAGACGTGAATGGGTCTTCATTGAGAAAGTGTGGCATTTTGGTTCCATTAGGCTGAAAATATGCTAGCTCTGGATAACTTTAAGATGCTAGCAATACACCATCCAGAAAATGTCAAGGTAGAAAGGGTTTTGTTCCCCTCGCCGTAGCACTATGCATATGCAATATTTAGAAGTGAGACTTTTTTCTTCTATCTTCCACCTCCCCTTCATCTTTCGGACTAGAAGATGTTTATATATTTATAAGGCTGTTGTTGTTTTTAAAAAAAGAGTTCTGGTTTTGTATAGAACTTGTTAGTCTAAGCACCTTGTAATTAAACTTTTTTAAGGAAAAAACTATTTTTGTCCTTTCCTTGGTAGCTCTTTGCAAGACAGATGTTTCTAAAATATTGTGGAACTAGTACATTTAACTCATTAAAATATCTGTAATTTTTATACATGCGACTATCCTCTTGAAGAATTTTTTTCTGTTTTGTCGTTGGTCTCATGTGAGCCGGGGATTCCAATGGGGCAAAAGACGTCTAGACTGTTTATCTGCCCTGCGCTCTACTGCAGGATCTAGTACAGTGGTACCTCGGGTTACAGACGCTTCAGGTTACAGACTCCGCTAACCCAGAAATAGTACCTCGGGTTAAGAACTTTGCTTCAGGATGAGAACAGAAATCGGGCAGCGGCGGTGGCAGGAGGCCCCATTAGCTAAAGTGGTACCTCAGGTGAAGAACAGCTTCAGGATAAGAACAGACCTCCAGAACAAATTAAGTTCTTAACCCGAGGTAGCACTGTATGTTGTGCTGGTGTTGCAAAGTTACACTGTGGTTCATCCAGAACATGAGCAGACACACAAAGAAATTGTGTCTTTCTGCAACCAATGTGTGTGTGTGATACTTCCATGAAAGCCCAACAGGTGATTTGCTCTCGCAGCTTGGGGATTAAAAGAACTACTACTTCTTTGGCGATCACACATAGCAGAGTAAGATTTTCTTCCGTGAACACAGTTTTAACAGTAACTCCGTAAGTGACTGGAGGCCAATTCTGGATCCACACGTCCTTCCACAGTGGGGACATAGGTTCCCAGACAGGAGTTGATAACACTGTGGATTTGCCAAGCGTGCCTTCCTCTTGGCATGTTTCTCCCTTTTGTCCTGAGTTCGAGTTTCTTCAAAGCCCATGACACCTTTGGTAAAGGCTGTTCTCCAATTGGAGTGCTCTCAGGCAAATGTTTCCCAATTGTCGGTGTTTATACTACATTTTTTAAAGATTTGCCTTGTCTTTAATCCTCTTTTGTTGACCACCAGCCTTACGCTTTCCATTTTTAAGTTGGGAATAGAGTGCAGTAGTTGCTTTGGAAGACGAAATAAAAGAAATAGAGGGAGTAGGGCCACGTGGTCCCTGAGAATCCTGGGCATCTAGTCCAACCCAAGGAAGTCCCTCAGAAGCAGCTGCCATTGAGGCTAGTGGGACTTGCTCCCTACTACGCGCCTCCAGAGGTCAAGGGTCACAACGCTCCCAGGTACCCCCTCCCCCCGCTCCCTCTCAGCCTGCCGCTCAAAGGGCAGCTCGCTTCTCACTGGCCGACGCCGATAGCGTAATCGCTGGTTGGGCCAAAAAAGTTGAGGCCGCGCCCACCAACGCGCTTGTCAATCAATCCTCCGCTTCTCGCTGAGGACGTCTGGCCCTCGGATTGGACGCTGCCTACTGAAGTCCCTTGTTATAACTGGTTGGAGATGCCAGAGCGCTCCTCCCCGTCAGGTCACCTTATTTGTTGTTTATGAAACCTCCTGAATCGGAGGCCTTCCTACTGGTTCTCTCCCTCGTCAGTTAGAGAGATACCCCGCCCCTCCTCTAGGCCAGCTGCTTTTCAATTGGCCATCCCGCCTCCTCTAACGCCATTGGCGGGGGAGCTTACTGCCCATCCTTCCCTTCGCCGGGTCGCGATTAGTCAGCCGGGGCCTGGGTGCGGTTTCGCGCGGCGCGATTGGCCGGGAGGGCGTGACCGGTCCCCAGGTGCCCGGCGCTGATTGGCTCGGCCCGCAGACTAAGCCCTGCCTTCCGGCGCAGAGGTGGGTTCGGTTGAGCTGGTTTGTTTGTGTGCGAGGCAGACGGGGGCCGAGAAGAGGGGGGGCCCCGAGTCGGAGCCGCCTCAGGTACCCACAGGAGGGCGGGGGGCGAGAGGCTCGGGCCTTGCCGGTTGTCCGGGTTACCTGAGCGAGTGTCCTCGCCGAGTGGAGCGTGGTTGCCGGGGGTTCCCTCGGAGAGGTGGTTGCCTGGCTACCCCCGGGGGGTGGGGTGGGGAGAAGTCGGGTGGGAAGGGGTGGCGAAGTGCCTCACCGGGGCGCTGAGGGAACGGGGAAGAGGCCGAGTGGAGGATCCCTGGCGTGGGGGGCGGCGGAGGGGGGCTTGCTGGGGGGGGCAGAGCTGCCCTCTCCCTCCCCCCCTCCTTTGGCCACGAAGGATGGGCGACCCGTCCCGCTGAGTCTGCGAAGGCACGGAGGACCCACATGAGATGGGGGGTGGAGGCGGAAGGGCCTTGGCACCCTGGGCAGTCGGATGGCGAGGCGCGCTTGCTTCACTCTGGGGGCTGGCGACAGGGTGAGGATCCCCAGAGGCCATCAGAGGGTGTATGTGTGTGGGGGGGGGGAGAGGAGCATCTTGTCCCCCAATAATGCGCTTTTAATGTGTCTTTTTTATTATTGAATGTAGGTGGTGTTATAGGAATTGTCAAGTATAGAATCAATGTTGGTGGTTAGCCATGGCTGAGGTATTTAGACAGGCTCCTTTTTGAAACATGGAAGCAAAGGTGGTTGCTCGGGTGAAAAGTGTAGGCTTTGCAATGCCAAAGGTCCAGGGTTCAGTCTCTGCCCTCTCCCGAGTAACCCCTGGGAGCCACCGCTAGTCATTGTCGAGGCAGATGGTCCAGTGGTGTGACTGTGTAAATCGGCTTCTTGTTTCCCTATGTGGTGGAGCAGAGCCTAGATGGCCCCGGCCTGTGCTAGGAAAGTCAAGGGGGCACCGGCTGATACTTGGGATGCATTTAATAGCCTTCGGGTGTATTGCTGTGTCTTCCGTAAATTTGATACTGTGGCTACCCTTGCGTTGAAAGTATTGGCAGGGCTTGCTTTGCAAGTCTTTATTTTGATGGCGATAGTTTAAGAAACATCGGCCGCTGCAACATAGGCTGCACACTTCCATGGTCTCTCACTTTTATTCTTGAAATCTTGAGCTGGTTACGCTGTTTGTGGGGTGCCCATATCAAAGTCTCCAAGCCTGTTTCTTGTATTATGAAGGTGGTACTTTTGTAGCACCACCACCTTGTGAAATTGCAGCTGCCCTAGTTTTTGCTAGTTGTCATGTGACCTGAGTACAGTTGCTTGACCTGTTGAAGCTGCTATCCTTAGTCCATCATGTTTTGTCAGTGTTGGAGCATTTCTGCCTTCCTATAGTACCGAGGTTTCCTTTTTTCCTCCCTTGGACTCCTTAATCCAGAATTTCTTTCTTCGGTGTAGTCACCTGGGAGAGGCAAAGTTATTTGATTATTGTTGCTTTTCAAAGCAAAGCCACCTATTGTGTGATTAGCATCCACAGGGAGTCTTTGATTCTGTTTAAATTCAGGGTTCTGGTTAGGCATGTGTGATGCTTCTACTAATCCTTGTAATTATCCCCTGGATATTCAGGAGATGGGCACATTAGGGATTCATAGATATTTCTCTACTGGAAGGGGTTTATAATCGCTTCTTACAGCTTGACTTTATTAAAAATGTATTGGGGTAGGCAAACTGCCCAGAGAACAGAATGAAATAAAAATAGGTTCCTTGTTGATGCAGTATGAAAAATAGAGAGAGCTGGTTGGAAGTACACTAATGTGTCCTCAACCCATAAGGCTTAATGGGGGTCTTTTATATGGTGAAAATTTGCAGGTGTTTAAGCTGAAATTGTAAAAACAAAGTCATGTGCTCAGCACCTTTAGATAAAGTGATTGACTACTTTCACATGTGACATTATATACTGATTATTTAAGAACTAGCACCCATGGCATGTTTTCCATAGGATTCTTTGATATTATTAATAGTATTTCGATGTTGTTGATCTCATATTGCTAGTGTTGTTATTAGTGCTATGTTTCGTCCCTGCTTCCCTGGTTTTTGTCTTAGCAGTAATTTAGATTTGCTTCCAATGTGTGAATATAGGTACAGTACTTATATTATTTCCATGTTTTGTAATGGCCATTGTGCTGCAGACAAATAAAATTGATCACATCACATGTGTGGAATCTGATATTGGATCATTTGTAGGGCTGTAAAGAAAAGGAAGGATGTGAATCATGAAAGTTAGATTGCAGAGAGTTATGAGGTCATCCAGTGTGGGCTTGTCCTAGAGTTTCTTCTTCAGTCTGCAGTATGTCAAGTGATAAGACTTCTATTGTTTACTGATGGGACAGTTTCTACTGAATCTCTGAAAGAAGTTACCTCTTCCTACTTTTTTTCTTGATCAGTGTAACACAACTTTGCTTGTTAGAAGACAACTTAGTAACATTAAAATATGTTCACAACGGGATCACCGTGTATGTTCAATGACTTAGGAGTTGGCATCAGTTAAGTATCATACCTGGTTTGAGAGATCTTTTTCAAGAGAGCAATACTTCTGTACTTGTAGCACTATACCCCAAATGAGTAAGACTTGATTACTGATTATAATCAAAAACAAAGAGTGGTTCATAACAGTAGTCTAATGGGAATAAGCTTCCAAAATCTTGATGAAAATTATCAAAATTACTTGTAGTAACAAATTGCTATTTTTATTGGAAGTTGCATATTGTAGCAATTCACAAGCTTAGTGGCTTTTGCCAGTACTATGGATTCGATCTAACATTAATCATACTTTGACTGGACCTCTTGAAATTAACAGACATGAGTAACTTAAATCCATTAATTTCAATGTGTATGCTCTTAGCAAAACAAAGTTGGATACAACCCTGTATATCTTAACAACTTTATCCATTCAAGCTGCACCCTTTCCCTCCTCTAAAAGTGTTATGAGAAGAACATATTTGGATGCTTATGCTGCATATTTGCACTCACTTTCTCAACAGGGAAGTTGCACCCCTCAATGTTCAGTTTCTTTTTTGCAAAGTAGCATTAGCATCTGCCCTACTTTTGCTTACTACCATCCATAACTGTACACTGCTACAAAAAGTAACTTCTGGGCTTCTTTTCTGGGGGATATAACAGTTCAAGGAATGTTTGCATCATCTGTTTTCTAGAAAATCCCCCAACACTGGTTTGACATTGTGACTTAACAACTTGCCACACATCTCCTTCCCACTATATAAAAGAGTTGTGAACTCCTGTGGTCTTAAACATGGAATAGTTTGGAGACCAGAAAGTATATGAGAAAACTAGAAGGATTTCCCTTTTCATCTTGGAAAAATACCTGCTCTCCTAATT